GCTTTTAAAAATTGTGTTTCTTCATTCGATGCGGCAAGGGAATTCTTAGAAGGTGCACTCACATTTGTGTCAAGACCACGTGACAAGTAGTCATATGAAACTGCAAGTGAGAACATCTTAAATGCAGGCTATTCTACTGAAAGTTGTCCACATGGCAATGGATAACCTACTCTGTGGATATTTATGGAGATCCAATCCAAATATACGGGTTTTCTTCTTTTTTTTTCCTTATCCATTGGGTAGGGTAAGTAATATTTTTTAAATACTTTGACTCCTTTTTAGGGCAAATAACTCCTTAAATTTATTTATTTTTATCAATTTAGTGTTTGTAATTTTAATTGTTTTGATTTTGAACTTTATTTTTTTATATTGTATCAATTCAATTCAATTAATAATTTTCATAAAAAGATGATTAGAAATCAATGACAAATTAATCTACTACCATTATAAAAGTGTGGAGAGTGTCTGTCATTTTTTTTTAACTTTTTTAAATTTCAATTTTACCCTCTCAAATCTATTATACTTTCTAGAGTCATGAAGAGTCGTATATAAATAAATTATCTATTTATTTTTGGAGTTGAACTCTAAAAAAAGATATATCAACTTTCAAGATATATGTGGTTATTATCTTTTGGATAAATTATTAATTATTTAAGTTAACTTGCGGGACTTAGTTAAATAAATGGGTCTTAAAGTGATTGAACAAGTAAATCTAAAAGTTGGGCATTTCATGTCATTTTTGTGGATATATGTTGTATCACCGTATCCGCATGTATTGTAAAGTAATTATATGAGATTGCTTGGTGAGCTAGTTGTTTGCTCACCCCCTGCCTATAAATGTGTACAGGAAATGTTTTCGGACTTGAGGATTAGCAACTGGTTGTGTCAAGATGTAGGGATTATGTGATGATGAGTTGTAGCCTGTAGTGCTCTTATTTGCTTTTAGTGAAGGTGAGAATAGTGGTGATGGTGTTGTGAAATTAGTAAAAATTTAATTGAAAAAATATTTTTTGTTTTTTAAAAATAACAAACAACAAAATTCGTGGGGGACTAAAGGAAGAAGATGGAGGATGGATTGGGTGTGGTAAGGCATAGATATCTTAAAATGAGTGGTTCAAATTTGTTAAAAGGTATAATTAAATTTTGGATAAATTAAAATGAATGGTTCAAATTTGCTAAGAGAAAGATGGTTTAATGTCTAAAATGTCCGTGGCTAAGAGATCAACAAACAATTTATTGTTTATGCCCTGATGCAATTTAATATCGGTCTTATAACACTTTCTTCAAACAGGTTCTTTCACATTTTATTTCTTCAAACAGGTTCTTAGAACATTGTAAACATGTTCTTATAACATGTAGGGGAGAGAGTGAGAGTGAGAGAGAGAGAGATGGTTGTAATTTTTTTTTTTAATCTTCCACGTTCTTCCACATTTTTTTTAATTACTAAAACTTATTTGATTGTCTCAAAATTATATATTTGATTATTATAAAACAAACTTTTTAATTAATTAATTAATGTGTATTTGATTTTGTTGTTAAACCAAATAAAATAAAATAAGATTGAATGTATATTTAGCTTTTGTTGTGAACCTTAAAAATAAATAAAAAAAATAAGTTGTTAACATTAAATATATTTAAAAAGAAAGAAAAAAGATTGAATGTATATTTAGCTAAAACCTTAAAAAAAAAGAAAAAAAGAAAAAAAGGAGAAGTTGTTAACATTAAATATATTTAAAAAGAAAGAAAAAAGATTGAAGGTATATTTAGCTTTTGTTGTGAACCTTAAAAAAAATAAAAAAAAAAAAATTTGTTAACATTAAATATATTAAAAAAGAAAGAAAAAAGATTGAAGGTATATTTAGTTTTTGTTGTGAACTTAAAAAAAAAAAAAAAGTGGTTGTTAACATTAAATATAAAAAAATAAAAATAAAAATAAAAATGGGAATTAAAGTGGGTTGGGAAAAATCTAAACCCATTAGGAAATAGGGAGGGTGGTACCCATGGGGAATGGGGAATGGGGAAAATTTGTTATAGGAGAATGGGATGGAGAATTAATATCCACCTCCACTAACCCCCATTGCCATCCCTAGACACGAGTTAGATTACCCATTCAATAAATCACCGCATACTAACCACACACTAATCAAGGGATGAAAAATCTTCATGATACATATTATGATATATTTTTCATGATCTCTAGCATTATTCGAGTTAGATTCTAACGGAGTTTATGATGCATCATTTTACACTGCAATAAATGCTACTTCATGTTGGACAATTTTCACTATATTTAAATAAATTAAATTCTGTTGTGTACTAAACAACAACCGGAATATAAAGAAATAAAGGAAATGAGAGAATTTGTTTGATTACAAAAATCAAACTCGAAATAAAAATAAATAAATAAAAACAGATTTTATTTTATTACAAAAACAAAATTAAAATCTGATTTAAATAAATAATAATAACACTGAAAATAAATTAAATAACTTACTTGATTTATTTTTTTTTTCCAAATTATAATCTGATCAAGTTCAGTGTTTGACACTGTGTCCTTAAGACAGATTCGTCCTTTCCACGGTGCTTTCAGAATTTGGACGTTTATCTCCCAGGATGAAATGATCTACTACAAACAATAGCAGCACTACAAATTGTTTGCTTAACGAACACACTAAGTGTTTATACTCTCTCTGACAAGAAAATAATGCAGCAAAATGAAGAGGATGTTTGCAGAATTATGAAGGACGAAAATTAGAGTTACAAAATCCAAATGAGGGCTGTCCTATTTATAGATAGATTGGTGGCTGCAGGTTTTGAATTGAATAGGTATGAAACCTGTTGGTTTTGAATTCAAACAGATTTGAATCTGTTGGATTACAATTCAAACAGATAACAAAAGTGGAAAGGGCCCTGTTTGGGTGTACAGTAAATCCGGACCAGTTTAATTCTGGGAAGGTCCATGTTTGGATGTACAGTAAAATCAAACCAGTTTAATTTTAAATTCTGGATTTTATTTTACCAAAAATAAAATTAAATTCAAATATTTTTGGCCAAAAAAATTAATATTGGGCCAAACAAGCCACGCACCCGTGCCTAGGCCAGCCCGCCCGGTGGCAGCGGCGCGCTCGTGTGGTTTTTTGGTCCAATGGATCTAGCCCATAACCTCTCCCTCTAAAACACTTGGATACCCCTTGGGGCACACCCCAAGTACCAAACCCAAGCTTTATAAACCCATTCAAAACTTCCCACCAAATCAATGTGGGACAAGTCATTTTACAACCTTAAGGAATTTCCACCAAAACTCCATTTCCATGGAGCACACTTTGGCTTCAATTTCCCATTCACTCGGTAATGGTTTTGAGCAACCAAATATACCACGTGAATCACAACACGGCATAGAACGCGTTACCACTTTGACCCGTGAAAGTCGACGCACGAGACCCACCTAAAAAATAGACCGAACTTAGGATAAAATTCTGATTTTACCCAGAATTTATAACCATTCCCACCAAATCAATGTGGGACAAGTCATTTTACAACCTTAAGGAATTTCTACCAAAACTCCATTTCCATAGAGCACACTTTGGCTTCAATTTCCCATTCACTCGGTAATGGTTTTGAGCAACCAAATATACCACGTGAATCACAACACGGCATAGAACGCGTTATCACTTTGACCCGTGAAAGTCGACGCATGGGACCCACCTAAAAAATAGACCGAACTTAGGATAAAATTCTGATTTTACTCAGAATTTATAACCATTTCCAACACTTCAGATGTCATTGGTCTAGCTTTTGGAATTACAGATATTTTAATTAGCTAATCTCCTCTCCTCCACATCTTATTAATGCTTTCAAATTTATGTTTTGAGAAAGGAGTTATTTGTTTGTAACTCAAGCATGATAACATACTATTTATTTGTTTTTACCAAATTGAATTGTTTAATAAGAACAAAAAAAATGTATCATGCCCTTGTTAAATGAGGAATAAATCAAGTTTTATGGAGTGATCTTCTATTCTATCTTTGATTTATTAACTTAGCATAACTATGATATTATATTTTGTATTAGTAGTTTGGCAATTATTTTTTTAGTGGTTTTTTTGGGGTTTAGATTTTCATTGTCTTTAGTGATTTTCTTTTATTATTAAAAAACTCTTTCACTTTCAAATATTATGAGACTAGACATAAAGAATAAAATAAAAATTAATATAAATTATGATCTATGCAAAAAATTTCTTTTTCTATGCTTTTGTTTTCACTTTCTTTTCTGATAACAAATCTTTTCATAAATCCAAAATTTAAATACTACTTAAAGCATGGATCATTTCAAAACTCAAATAGTATGAACTGTGCAGTATGGTTAAAAAATATGATTATTATAATATTATTATTTAAGATTGACAAGGCCATTCAAACATCCTGTTTATTTTCCCATTAAAACAATAAAGCACCAATAATTTGATCCGATAGCAAGCCAACATCACTGATATAAAAATAAAAAAAAAATGTAGCCGACCCTACTTTAATGGGACACGAGACTTTGTTTGGGAACACGTTATTTAAGTAATTTTTTAATTTTTTATGAAAAGATATGTAAAAAAATAGAGAGTAATGTGACAATTTATAGTGATATTTTGACTTTTTGACTAACATATGTAGTTGACAAACGAGACCAAGTAAGTCAACATCTAATATCCAAGAACACCTCAATTGTAACTACTGCTAGAACAGTTTCAAATGCCAGCATATCTAAAATAAATAAATAAATGAAAAATTACGAATAAAATTTCAAAATTTGACTCTTGTAACAAAATAAATTATAATATTTTAACTATATCAATTTAAACTCTAATATTTTAATTTGTTTTCTATCTAATCATTCACCTATTTTCATGATTTGTTTACAAGGATCAAACCCATGTTTTTTTTGTAATTTTCCCATAAATAAAAGAGTAGTACTACCTATGTACCCATAAAAATAAATAAAAAGATAAGTGCTTCCTGTATAAAAAATATGCAACACTAGTAATGAAATAGCTCTGGTGGTCACCTTCACTGTTTTAGCCTTTTTCAGCTTTCAAAAACCCGTTCTCTTAAAAATATTCAATACACAAATTCTTCAGAACGCTAAAAAACTAAGATGTCCTAAATAGAAGATCAATATTGAAGGTGAAATGAAATAGCCAACAAATTAATTTGTGAACATGTTCTAAATATTTTGAATAGATATATCTCAATATTGCTTTGCGATTTCCGACAGTGAAGAGTATGTTCCCAGGACTGCACAAATAATGCCCAGTGCCACTGTTGTGATGCTCAAGACAATCTGAATATGTGGAAACAGATGCAAGTAAATACAAGGGACGTAGTTACATATACCAAAAAATATACAATAATAATAAATATCGACTATGTTTCTTCTTCCATTTATGTATGTGCTTCTTTATTTAATTATTTTCTTTCTTCTTGCTTTATTCATTTATCAGTCTAGCAAGTAGTTCATGGCCATCAATTTATGCATATGTTATGATATCCATCTATTACAATATGGTACATATGCTGTCTCGTACCAAAAAACAATGAGCTTGTTCATTTCACCAAAAAAAATTCTAACAGAAACCTAGAGCTTGTTCGGTTGTGTTTCTGTTTTCTGCTTTCTGTTTTCATGTTTTTTAAAAAAAACACACGACTTATTTGAGGAACTGTTTCTGAAAACAACCAACTTTTTAGAAAACACCAAAAAATTGTTTTCGTACAAAAAATGGAAATGATGGGTGTTTTAAAAAAAAATTCATTGGTTTTGTTTTCAAAAACAAAAAACGAAAAACAACCAAACATGCCCAGTTCTCTCAAAAACACAAACAGAATATTTGCTGCTACACCTTGTTAAACTTCATTCTGCCACTCTTCTTTGAGTTAAAAGTGAAGCACAAGCATCAATTTGGTGTCATGTTCGAAGAGAGTAATATTCTTTCTATAAGAAATAATTTCCAGCTCCATAACCAAAGCAAACATTGAAATCTTTTCAATAAGTCTCATGCTAGGAAATTCTTGATCCTTAAAGCTATAAGAAGGCTGTTGTCTGATGCATAATCCATTTAGTTTTCTAATGTTTTCTTCCGAAATTTGAGGATAGAAATAAGGCACAAAATATTACGTACCTGGGTGGTTGTCGCCTTCTTTACAATTCTCAGGAAACATAAAGCTGGCATTATTACTGCCTGAGCCACACCAAATGCATTGTTAATGAACATATCTAAACCCCACACAGAAATCAACAAAAATTCATAGACAAAAAACCAAAGAGGAATACAAGACATAAACAAATCAGGGATGAAACAAACATCATAAGATGTTGGTAAAGATGTGTAATCTTTAGGAATGATGTGGTTAATACGTAAGAATTTAATCTTACTTTGGGCTGCCATTGATTTATATTTTATGATTTGTGAAAAACAGGTTCAAAGTTATTAAGATAGACTGACTAATATACGGTTCATCTTAGTATATGTATTGTTTTCTAAAGTGGGAATGTGGTATGGAAGTGTAGGGCATGTTTTTATGTTGTTTGGCTTCCTTAATAGGAGGACCCTAACCTTTCAATCCTAAAACCTTATTCCTTCTTAGCCTACCACTCTAATCCTAAAAACATAGCTTTTCCCCTGTTATCCAGAAAACTCAGAAAGATATTACTTCTGTGTTTACACTAAAATCAGTTTTTAATGAATACGTATTCATTAGAAAAGGTCCAAAAGAGAAGATTTCACACTAAAATCAGTCTTTGGAACAGACAAGGACTCTTGCATATACTGTGATGTGTGTCAGTGCTTTCCTAACCCTATTGTAGAAAATAGGAAAAGCTCATGGATAGCAAAGAGGGCAGCTACATAAAAGATCTTTTCCTAAAAGACAACTTCAAGGTTTTCTCCCCTTTCAGCTTCTTGTGATGTTTCTAATCTCCCACCAAATGATTCCAAGGTTTCAAAAAAATTTAGTTTTATTTGGAAATTTTCGGTGTTTAAAGGCTGCCTTAGACTTAACCAAGGAGATGGTTTTTAATAGAGCCAACTGGAGGAGTAAATGGGTCCATGTTTGCTGACCCCAAGTAAATTGGGACTAAGTTAAGTTAAATTGAGTCAAAGGTTTGCTAAAATACACAGCTATGATATTGTCAAAATTTCTTGCTTAACAAAACATCCAAATGCAATTCCAACTTTCTTGATATTGGTTTGAATAGTTGACTGCTCTGGTTGAATTGGAACTAACATTGTCAATTCTGGGGATATGTATTAATTATATAAGAGTGCATAACTAAACGGTTTATGCTTACCACAAGTATACTAAGAAGAGAACCGATTAAAGCCATCATAAGACCTGCAATAAGAACAAGATGAAGTCAAGTTGAGAGGTTTAGCTAACGTTTAAATATTTACTTATCAAAAAAAAATCATGGATATCTCCTATTAGCACACCAGATCACCATTCTTTTCACTGAATCTCACACATTTCTTACATTTTCTTTTAACATGACACATTTTTTAGTCATGATCCAACATAATGAGCAGAGATGTTAGATAAACTAACAAACCCCTAATCATGGTTGTTCTAGCATTTTACCTTAAATTATTGAAGAAAACGATTGATCATGAATTTCTCAATGATAATTGTTCAATTAACCAACCACATTCACATGAAGAACATGCAGAAAATTTTAAGTGAGAGGTTGATTAGCCTGAATACACACAGTGTAAACATTCATTGTCACATAATTACTCATTTAATCCTCATATGATGACGAAAGTTTTCTGCAGTCGGTTGTTCAGGGCATTATATTCCCACAAAAAATTCCGTCTTCCTTAGTGGCCTTTGGAAAGCTCCTGAGCCTTTGAAATGGTCTCAAATCAAATAACTTATGATTGCTCCAAAGTTGAAGCACAATTTCTATTCTCAATTGCCTAAAAGTTGGTCCACTCATCAATATTACCATAGTTTTGACATCACTAGCACTAAAAACTGCCTAACTGATACTGCAACTACAAATTAAAATGCATTTTAAGGTGAATGCATTTTGAAAACCTTCCTATAGGCAAACTGCTCTTAAATAATGCCAAGAAATGACATATATAGTGCATGTCAAGTACAGAATCAAACATTAAGATTGTAAGTGATGATCTTATTATACATGCCAGTGATATGATATGGAAATGAATGGTAAGAAAACATCACGTACTGAAGAAAGGAACGAGAAATGCAACAATAACAGAAGAAATGACAAGTGCTGTCCTCAGCAGAATGAAACACCAGAAAGTACTAGAGATTCTGGCAGGCAGCAGTTCCTCGATACTTCTGGCCAACGGGTTCATCAACAGGGCAAACTTGTGCAGTGTTAAGGAATCAAATATGGATATTTACTTCATAATTTTGCAGACAACGTCACAAATTACATCTAATATCCTATTTTCATAACTTAATAATTTAGTCAAAGGATATTTAGTGAATGGGTTGATAACCTGCAAAAAAAAAAAATTTAAAAATAAAATAAAATTACAGGAACAAAAACAAAACTGTCGAGTTAGAGAAGACATCAATGATTGAAAGGACGAAAAAAAAAAATGAAGAGCTCATACAGGAGATAATAAGAGATCAAGGAGGATGTGGAATCTGATACTTACTGTTGTCCACAATGCAACTTTGGAGGTAATACTATCCGGTGGCATATTCAAAGTTATTTGGGATTGTGTGGCTTGACCAAACATGAGAAATCCCATGGTTGCAACACCCCCATATATTATAACACATAAAATAAAGCTGCACATTAAGAAAGGGAAGGTATTTAAAAGAGGTGCAAGTCAAAAGCTCATGTTGCATCAGAATTACAGTTATCATACCATACTGTTAGTGCCTTGGTAAATTGTCTTTTATCAGCCATGGATTGGTAAATATTTGGGAACACAGAATGCCCAGAATAGCAAAACCCATACACACCAATGGCAAAAGGAATGCGGCTCCAGTTCACTGCTGGACCAGTATGATGAAATCCGATTCCATCCACGGTACCAAGAAAAATCACACAAAGAATTATCACAAATGTTGCAATGACCCCTCCGGCTGCAAGAGGAATATCAAATGTTTAGAAAATTCATATCATATAATTATATTTAGAACAATATTAACACGGTGGAGGCACTTGACAGAAATAAAAGACACTATGAACACCTGAAAGGTAAGATATAACACGGAGATCCCGAAGCCAAACAGTTGGAAGAACGATTAAGGCAGTGCAAATTCCAAAGAAGTGCATAGAGTCAAGTTGCAAACCAGCCCAGTTCAAGGATGCACCAGGGAATAGCCTGGTGAGATTATCCCCTTCCAAAATAATAAATTCCACACAATATGACTGCACTCACAGAAAATAAATTTTAGAAAAATGCTTTGGAAATAAGAATGGTCCAAGTGACTAGGGAAGTTAAAATCAATGTTTCACTTACATATAACTCCGTGTACAAAACAATCTGCAACAAGTTCCAAGGATAAGATAATATCAGAGACTTAAATATAAAAGCACAGAGCAAAAATTTAACTAACCTAGCAAATGTAACGTCTAGTCATTTTTTTTTCCTTTCCTTTCCACGTAATATCGGTGAAGAGTTGGGGGCGGCGAAGGAATGATTATATAATTAGGCCATGTTTGTTTGGGTGGACATGAGCTTGAGATTGGACTAATAATTCAATAAAATTATTAATTCGATATTTGGTTAAACAATTGAAATACGGACTAATTATTTTAAACTTGACTATTAGTTAAGATGGGATACATAATCCAACGAATTCGTAGTCCTAGGACTATTAGTCATGGGAATGTTAATCCAGTCTGTCCAAACAAACATGACCTTATAGGATTGCATGCTGCACTCAAAACTTTCATTCCCAATATTATTGTGCTTTACAAAGCATTTCATAGAGGCAGCAAGATTATAAATCACAAGACAATTTGTACCACATGAACCAATAATTGCAGAATTGCATCCTCTCTAGCAATGACACTTCCCAGTCTCTTAGACTGAGTGGCACATCATGTGGCCCTAAAACATAAGAGGGCTACTACAAACTGAAGCTACATCAACTTACCGATATAAAAAGGCGTCCATATTTGCCAAATGCAGCTTCTCCAAGATCCGGGTAGCTTACGATGCCTTCTTTGCTCTCAAAGCAATGTCTCATAAGAGAAGCCGTAAAACAACAGAGAACTGCAAAGAGAACTAGCACTGCCAAGCTTGCCCAGCCAGCTTCCTTCACTGTATGAGGTGTAGACAAAAGCCCAACTCCAGCCATTACATTTATCGCTGTTCCATAACAATTTCAATTTTAAGAAATCCCAAGCAATCAAATCTTTATTTGTTTTGCCAAAAGATCAAGCAATAAAGATATCAAGAAAATATGGATAATAATTGACAAGAAAAAAAATGAATTCATTTTGTGTGTGTAAATTTTTATCAATTTGGATACCATTTTGAACTTTTTAGACCATTCATTTTACATTTCCAGTTTCTTCATTGTCAACCATGCAAAAACATAAACTAATTCAAAATACATAAGTATTACTGATGTAAATACTTTTATGGCCTTACCATTGAATACAGTTTGTGTGAAGCTACATCCACGGTGAATGGGAAGTTCTCCAGTGAGTTGCTCATGTAATGAAGCCTTCTCTGACCATGATGAATGTGTTCTGGAGATGTTGTCCAAGTCTCCCTTTTGAAAAATCTTTTCATTCTCAGACAGCAAAGAAGTCCTGGATTCCAAATCACTTTTACTACCAAAATCAACACCTGAATATCTGACAGTAGATGCAAGTCGAAGGGCTCCAAAAATCGGGGATGCCGCTATTGTGTAAGAATCTGTTGTCTCCCTGCCAAAAGAAAAATAATAATAAATATTTGAATACATCTAACCATGCATTTTTTACTTCTTGAACCTCTCCAATAAGGCACTTAAATATTGGAGTTAACACAGCAAAATAACCAAACAACATATATGAAGGGAAAGATAGTATATTGATAAGATATACAATCACAGCCCACAAATGTAGAAGGTTGATGCACTTTTCAAATAGAATAGATTCCACTTCACATTTTTCTTTTCTTGGGCATGAAATTAGGAAATAAGAAATTTTACACCCATAATCTTGCAATTACCAAAATAACATTGAAGTAAATTATGTATATAGGTTAAATTATAGAGAAAATGTTAAATATCAGAAAAAATGGGGAAACTAATTGCAAATGTATAGAGTGCAATTGATTTGCAATTAGTTTTCACTTTTTTCATTTAACTGATATTTTTCCTAAATAATACAGAGTTTTACAACAGTCAAGAAAATTGGGAAAAAGAAAAAATCAATGAGGAAAAAATAGATCAAATGCTTATTCATAATCTACACTAAGGGTTCGTGTATAATTCAAATAACTAAAAATAAAAATAAATTATAAAGAAATTAATATCACAATACCTATGTTGCTCAAGTGGTAAAAATCTCCATCTTCGCATCTAAAATCTTAATTTTGAGTATTGTGCACTTCTTTATCTAACTTCTTCTTTTTTTTTCTTTTTTTTTTCTTTTTTTTTTAAATAGAGAAATACACATGCCATATGGCATGAATGGAAACAAAGCAAGTACAAATTTTACTTTCTATAGTAATATAGATTTTAGCAAAAGAGTCATTGGATTTTTATTATTTACATAAAAAAGTATTATCAAAATATAAAGCAATGTCTCATGTCTTATTCAACAAGTAAACTAGTTTAGTCTCTTTTTTTTAATTTTTTTCTCTAAATTTTTCATTTGATTTTATTTTCCCGGTGTTTCTGAGAAACCAAACGGAGAATGAATACCTGTAACTCTGAGGCCACTGATGAGAAGAGAAAGGAGAAGAAGGAGATCCGGGAGCATCATCTTCATCACAACTTGTAGTACCACCACCATCGATCTTGTTGTCTTCGGACTCATCATCATCTTCCTCATCTTCCAAGAAAAACTCCGACTCTTTATCTTTCTCCGCCATACCAATCAACAAAATCCAAATGAAAAAAACAAAAACAAAAACAAAATATGTGTGTGTATATGTATAGATTGAGAATTAGAGAAATGAGAGATGATTGGTGCAGAGTAATTAATGTGATAAAAGTTACAAGGAGGAGATAGAATACATACGAATAGGCTTGGACATGTATATATATATATATATGTAGAGAGAGAGAGAGAGAAAGAGAGATAGTGAATTGAGGAGGTGCGTGATTGAGGGGATGTGTGTTGTGTGGTAAATAATGGAAAATGGACAAAAAAGCGCCGATGCAGGAGCGACGAGAGATGTCGAAGATTGTATGAGCTGACACTTTCACAACGCCAAATCACTTTTGTCCCGTTATGCCTCGTACTTAATCAAACTCCAAATGTTTTAGTGATTGATTGTTAAAAGATTGTTAAAAGGCTGATAATCGTGTTCCTCTCATTAAAAATTCATTTGAATTTAATTTGTTAAGTAATTAAATTAAATTTACCTAGCCAATTATTTGTTCGGTTGGATTGATAAGCTTACTATATAAAAATAAAAAATGTTAGAGATCTTAAAAATTCTATCAAAAATTTTAGTAAATGTCTTACATGGGTGTGGGACCCACACAATGTGGGTCCCACGCCCATGTGAGACATTTAGTAAAATTTTTGATAGAATTTTTTAGACCTCTAACATTTTTGTATAAAAATATCAAATTAATTTAGTTTGGTTCAACAAAAACTTATTTGAGATTGACTTCAAATTTTAATGAATGACTTGAACAAAATTTGAATTTTGTAAAAGTTATCAAATTAAACTTGAACACATTTAGCTCATTTATTACCCCTACTGATTATGATAATCTCCGTTGCATATTTGATATTTATAATGGAAATGTTCTATTACATCGATAAATGCAATGATTTTTCTTTAAATTAAAATAATTATAAATTTGTATTCATATTTCATAATCATTAGATATGTGATGAAAATCATCTTTTACATGTCTCACGTCTTAAGATGCATATGTTAAGGAAGTATTTAGGGGTTGTTTGGGGTGTCTTAAATAAGTGCACTTTTTGGACTAAAAAATTGAGGAAAAAAATATGGATGTTTGTGTCAATTTTTTATGAAAAAATGTGTATTAAAATTTTTTATAAATTAATGTGTAGGGGAAAATTAAGATTAAAAGTTGCGCAACCGTAATTTTTGACTTTTGATGAATAGTGATAACTTTTTAATTTTTTGAGTAACTTTTTGACTTTTTGTTAACTTGTCAAACTTGGCCTAAATAGATACAATTGGCTCCACCGTAAAAAGATTACATGTTTTCTAAATTAAATAATATTTTTTATAATTAGACCAAAACATCTGTTTTTTCAGATAAGCAACTCAAGAGGGAGTGAATTGAGTTATTAAAAAATAATTTCACAATACTAATTATAATAATCAAAATATTCGAATTTCAATAAATAAATAAAAAAGCAATAATAATCTACTAAACTATTATAAAAGTGTGAAGAGTTTGACATATTTCTATTTTTTTTTTAAATCTAAATTTTACCCTCTCAAATTTACTATATTTTTTAAAAATTATGAAGAGTCTTATATAAACCAATAATTTCTTTATTTTTGGAGTTTAATACTCAAAAACAATATATCTGCTTTAAAGAGTCTTATATAAATATAAATAAATTGTTTCCCTTCTTATCAAAATAAAATAAAAATTGTCTCCATATTTTTTATATTGATGATGATTGAAAACAAAAAATATTACTTTTTCTTATTTCCTATATCAGCTTCTACATTGATATACATAATATTTATAATTTTCTATCATAGATCAAATCACTGTGAATAATTTTGGCTGAATCTTAATTTTGGTTGAATCTTAAACTTGTATGCATTCGTTTGAATCTAGACAGAAGAAAGCGCATGCGCTTTTAAAACAAAGATTTGTACTGCATCTCAAAATTTTGTAAGTTATCTTCATACACTTTTTTTTTGTTTAAATTATATTTTATAAACTGTACTATTTTACATGGTGCTTTAATAACCACGGTATGATATCAAAATTCTAAATAATAACCATTTTCGTTGTTTTTATTTTTTAAATCTGTTTTTCAATTTTTGATTTTCCATATTTTCTCAATTTTGATGATTAAATATACTGAAATTTCTTCATATTTTATATTTAAATTGTACTTTCACATAAAAATATAATATCTAATAATCTAAATAGAATTAAAAATTAAAATGCAGGTAAAAAAATTTATAAATCAAAATGTACTGATTTTTTATTATTATATATATTTTTTGTTATTATTATTATTATTTAATATTAATAAAAAAATTTCCAAAAAGAATACACAACAAATTATTTTCTAAGTATAATTAGATTAAGTGAATCTAAATCTAAAAATAAAATTAAAAATTAAAAAAGCATTAAATTAAGTAAATCTAAAAGGAAAATAATGAGTTATTAAAAAAAAAAAACAGTGTCAAAAAAAAAAAAACATGAAAACTAAAAAATTCAAAACAAAAATTTAAAAAAAAGAAACCAAACCAATCATTATAAATTTCTCTTTTTTAAAATCTTTCTTCACTAATCTCTAATTTTTCACAAATTATTCATAAATTCCTTTCAATTTTTATATGAATTTAAAAATCTAATAAAAAAATGGTGCATACACACAAAAATGTAGCACAGAACATCTATATTATGACCAACTATTTAATTATGTATTTTATGTTACAAAATATTTCAGATATTATTTTTCTGATATCTTATATATGTCAATGTCTGCATATATAAATATAAATTTATATATGTTACTGTATTCATAAATTGTCAATCTGTAATACTATATTACCATCAAATGCTTTAATTTTTTAGCATATATCGCTTTTAGTAATATAGTTATATTTGTTAGAAAGAAATTACAAAATTGTGTATTGTTCTCCTATCAACTTATATTCAATACGTATATACATACTGTACGGGAAAGAAATAAACCTTCTCGTATAATCCTGTTGACCAAGTCTACTCTCCTCCATACGTCGTCGCTTTATTGCCTGAAAACACAAACGTGAGCTAGCCGGCGGGTGTGTGCCGGAAACCTCTCCGATGCCTAAGTCAGTAAACTTGACAAATAGACAAAAGCTCTATGTATTCAGAAAGCAAAGTTGTGTGTTACCTCCCCAAAGATGATGTTTGTGAGCTTTTATAGGTTTCGAGTGGCACAATCCTAGTAGGACTTCTACTCCTCCACGCAGAGTCCTCCTAGGATTCATACTCCTGTAGAATAATGCTTATCCTTTAACACCCCCCTCACTGCTTAAACCAAGTGAGATGGTTTTATCATGGCCGAACTCCAATATGACCGAAGTAATCATGGCTATGCTGAGCCACAGAGTAAGCCGTACTACCCTTAGTTCGGTTCTTCCTTCTCCTCTTTATCTCGGTCTTCTCATGTACAAACCATGGTATGCTTACACCGAGCTACTGAGCAGCAAGGTTCTGACCGTTCTAACCACAATACGATATGACCGAACTAACTCTGAGACCGGCCTAATTCCAAGTTGATTCCGGACCGGAGTAACTTTAGATTCCTCTTGGGCCGGAGTAATTTTATACCTCTCTTGGGCCGGAGTAACTTTTTGGCCTTTTTACCCAGCCCTCCGTACTTTGGGCCATAATGACCTATCTCATAGCTCGGCCCAATTTTCACAAAAATTACCCTCTCAATTGCCCCTTAATTCCATTTGCCCAGCATGATTGGGATTACCTGTTTATCAGCCGAGCTGAAGTCTATAAGCCTTTCCAGCCGAGCTAAAAAAAACCTTTAGCCTTTTCAGCCGAGCTAATTTTACTACGGGCTCTGCTTGTCCGATCAAAACGTCTCTTCAATCACAGCGACTGTAACGTTTCCCATTCTAATCACACGTGGCACGCTCTGATTGCCTGAGGACGGCTGTCATGCTGTCTTCGTACTTCGTGAAATTTGAACAGTCCCGCCCAAATTTTGGGCTTTCTAGCAAAAGCAAACCCTAAAGCAAATATTTCTTCATCTTGGTACACTTTTCAGTTTCTTTCTCTCTGAACCTCCATTGCTTCCCAACTTCTCGAACTGTGAAGCTTGTTTTGCGTTTGTCTTTTACTGCTGTTGCATCCATTTCCAGGTCCTCTTCTTCGACTTGGTAAGCAAATCCATCTTTCTTGCTCTGTTTGTATTCGTATCTGTTCCATGCGTTTTGTTTTGTGTGCTTTTTGCAAACACTTTTTCTGTCTTGCTTTGCTCTGTACTTCTATAGAAAAAACTTAACAGTAGAACATATGAGTATATGTAATATCCTGTAGAAAACTAGCTTTTGATCCAGAATCATGATGCAACCGAATTAGGACACTGTTTAAGCTAGGTAAAACTCTAGTTAGCTTACAACCGAACTAACACTTCATATTTATATCAGTAGCTTTGAATAAGTCAAACCACTTTTGGTAGCCCTTAACCGAGGTAACCAACCGAACTAGGTTTGCACTTAGTATACTGAGATACCTGAACTCCAACCGATTTAGGTCTTTGGGCCAAACCAGCTTTCTTAGTTTTTTAGACCGAACTCAGAAAGCTGCCCCTAGACGATGAACCAGTCTAACAAAATCGTTTCCACAACCAGTATGCCGAGACGCTTGCCAAGGTTTGGCTAATAAAAACCCTTCTCAAACCGAGCTACCAATCACCTTGCAGAAACTGAGATAGAACCTGTAGTATCCACAAAGCCGAAGTAGGGCTCCTATTTTTTTACTTTTATTTTGTAGCACGGTCCAATGATCTGTGCTTAACCCCTCTATTTTCTACCTTGCAGACTTAGGTTGCCCAGGCACTCCTCCGCGCGCTCAACCGAGCTACTGAGCACAATTTTTGCACCGATCTAATTTATTCGTAAATTATACAATAAATGGGTAAGTATAGGTATTTAGTAAATACTCCGAGCGGCCTAGCCGAATTCAAAAAAGACTACAATATACCCGATGACGTCCACCTGATTTTAGCCGAAAAAAATGTCATTCCTTGGGGCAATGAAGGCTTTGTTCCTTTCACCCTTTTGTCCATAATCGAGACCGAACTACGATTTCCAGTCCAACCCTTGATGT